CTGCCAGCGAGCCCCTCGCAGAGGGGAAGAACGAAGAGGGCGAGTTGTCGCTGTACTGCTGAACGGGCGCTTGAGCGACAGATCGCTTCCGGGCTGGTGATACGCCGGAGCTCCTGGCGTGCGGTATGCTGCCGGATCGGTGTTCACCCCAAGCAGGTCGGGCGGTGGGTCTCCATTCGGTCTCTGAGTTGGCAAGGAGGGAACCTGAGCCGGTCTTGCCTTCGACCAAGTCTGCGGGGGCACCGTTCTCTGGGCGCGGGTCAGCGTTGCAATCGTCATAATTCAAAAGTGGCATACCTCGGGGACGCGAGTTGTCTCTGCCAGCGGAGCCAAGCCCAAACGAGCCGATGGAGTTGTTCCAGATAGTCTTTCCCCACGGGGATGCGTGCGAGCGCTCGGCGTCTGTGCCGTTGAGCGAGATGCCGTTGGAGTAGTCGCGCGGTCGAGTCTGGAGCAAGTGTCAGTACGCCATGCTGCATGCATAGGGAAGTGGCTACCCACATTGGCGGACATGACTGCCATGTTACGGCTGGAATCACCGGGCGTGCTGTTCATTTACAGGCGAGAGTGACGTTATTAGGCGGCGGAGAATATAGTGCAGTCCGGTGGAGGATGCGCGGGGTGGCTTATGCGTGCGCGAGTGCGAGGGTCGGACTAGGCTCAGGCGTCAGCGCAGACAGGGCAGGTGCGGGGGCAGAGAATACGGACGCTCTTTCCAGCCGGTATAGTGAGGGACTATGAATATATTGTGCGGCGGCGTGGTGCACACGGATGCGGCGGCGAACAAAGAGAGGTGGTCGCGGACGTCCGAGGGAGGAGGCTGTGGGTGCGGGCGAGGTATGCAGGTCCGGGTGGGCGATGGGGTCTTTCTAGGCACAGTTCATGCTAGTCTTGAAGCAATGATGTTGCGCGCCAGGCGGGGGACGCATACGGGTGCGATGACCAAATGCAGCGGCGGGGAGTGCAAGGGCGGGAGGCAGGGCACGAATGCAGCGGTGCGGGAGGAGGATATAGATAATGGGCGGGCGTGCGGGCGGTGGGCGTGTGTGTGTGGGCAGGCCGGGCGCGCGAGTTTGGTAGCGGGCGCAGAGGTTTCGGGGCGCAGCCTGAGGGAGAGGGTTGCGCCAGCTGTGGGTTCGGAAGATGTGTTTTTGGTGATGAAGATGCGACTGCCCTGGAGGATAGGATCGGCAACTAAGGGCAACTAAAGCACTGGGGAAACGCTAAGGCTCAGGTTGTACCGAAAGCGTCGCCTAGAGGTCTTCGGGTGCTTGGATGCAGGCCAGGCTTGGGGAGAGGGTCGACGGTGCGATTGGAATCTGAGGTATGATCTCCCTAAGAACAAATATCCTCCGTTTTCTTTCCTCTTGCGCCCACCGGCTGCAATGCGCTCACGTGTGCCAAGAGCGAGTCAGGGACGATGCGGCAACGGAATCCGGACGATCCTCTGTGATGCGAGGTGTCGTTATGGCAGCCTGAGACACTCCCCATGCATGGATAGGAGACCCTCAGCATTATCTACAGGCCCGTCGTGTTTCACCACCACCCTGCCGCCACGTCCAAGCGCACCCTCTGCTACGCCTTCACCCTCCTGCATGCCAGTGTTTGCCGTCGGGACAAGATTCTTGGTAGCCACAGGACTTCGGTAGCCAACCCACGCCCACCATGTGTTGCCCTCGTCGACTTTTCTGCGATGACCAATTGACCTCTGTCTGCTTACTTGGAGCGAATTGGTCGACCTCGATGCAGCCTGAGTGACATGCATGGACATAGGAACTCGTCGACGTGATTGCCTGGAGGCACAGCAGACGATGCACGGCAACTACGGTCGCACTCGCTGTGAGTTTGATCGATGAAGAAAAGCCTTCTCACGCTCGTGACCTAGATCATCCATGGATTGTCCTCGCTGCCAGCACTCCCTGCAAATATAACGCCTCCTAGCTGCGGGTTTGCGCTGCAAGGCTGCAAGTCGGATGCGAGGCGTCCAGTGAGCCTCCCATCTCCGCTCTGTGTTCATAGCCGTGCTGCGCTGGCGGGCCAACAGGCAGAGCAAACTGCTGCAATCGCCAAGTGCTTTCTTCGTGATAAAGTTCCTCCTCTGACTGTGTTCGTCGTGGAGCTTCACATCTACACCGCTCTTGTTGGGTTGACTGGTGTTACACACGATAAGCCACCGTTGATCGCCGCGAGGTCACGATGGAACACCATCCAGTGCCATGTAGCTGTCTGAGAAGAGCCGGTGACAGCATTTCCCCTCAATCGCAGACAGTTCATCGCTTCTAGAAGACGACATGCGACAGCCCCAGAGTCAAGGGGTCACTTGGCGTCAGGCAGGCGGGAAGGCATCAAACGTCCCGAAGGCTCAAACGCAGGGCCTGACGATGAGATGTTTAACGGCGGGGACAGGAACCGAGTGGGCGCAGTGGAGAAGCCAAGTGCCGGCCTGGCTGCATCCGTAGGACCATGACGAATTCCCTCGTGTCACTTGCGCGCTGCTGACGACTGCGACGCTGCAGGTGGAGCGGAAGCCTTATGCCAACCTTGGGGTGATGAAGGGCTGCCTCAAGGCTTTGTCGAACGCAAGAGAGACGTGCCTGAGGAGGCTCGAGTTCCATCACCACACGGTGCTCCCTGCGCCAGCCTTGGAAGTGGTCCACAAATCCATCGTTCATTACGCGCGTTGCTGTGGCATGTGCTATCGACCAGCATAATCCTGCATCGCTCCGCACTCGGGCAAGACGTTCGTCTCAGCCAGCGCTGTCAACTCGTCTCCACGCCGTTGTCACAATCAGTCTAAAACACGTCGCGTCTCGTACTCGATAAGCTTAACGCAACATCCAGATTGGCGTCGTGAGGGTGACAGTACATAGTCTGGGGCGGTCGCCTCAACCGAAGCGCAATAGGAGTACGTGCTGGCCACGATCCACTGGCGATCCACACCGGAGAGTCTCGACCTCTGGCTAAATCCCACCCCCGTCATTCGTTATTACCGCCCCTTGCATATCAGAAAATACTCCACGCGCTATAACCGTTGTTTGTTTTGCTCTGTTTGCGGCGACGGCGTTTTTACTTTGGCTCGGGTTTGGGAACCATCGCAGAAGGACGACCCTGATTGTTGTGGTCTCGTGCGGCAGCGGCGGGGAGATCGCTGGCGCCAGCGAAGCCAAAAATAAGATCGAGAGGATGAGCGTGCTACCGTCATCTTATTGTGCCTCACGGACGCGGCTTAGCGTGGGCGGCTTCCTCTCCTAAACTAGGTAAAGAGGAAGGTGCGCGCCTTAGTGCCGATCGCTGATTCGCTATCAGTGCATCGTACCTGCATTTTGCATTGGTGACCGCAAGGCGGTTCAAAATAACGTTGGTTCCCATCTCGACCTCCTTGCTCACCTCCTCCACGGTCTCGCCCACCTTCACTCATTCTTCCCTCGTCGACTTATCGCTTCACTCTTTCAGCGATATCTCGCATTACGCTCTTTCCCACCTTGTGTCTCTCGTTCTCTATCAACTCACCAGCTTGCGAACCGACGGTGCTATCAGGTGCGTATCCGCTTGTTCCCGTTGGCGTCCGTCACATTCCGCCAAGCCTCCGCGCGAATGTACAATCACAACACCGAACAGAAGCAATGCGAGCGGGACAATGAGGACTAACATGCAAACAGCAACTACACTCCTTAATCAACACTACCAACCTCAGAGTTATCTGCACGCCATCGACACGCCCTAACGAAACACAATACCACCATATCATAATGATGAACATCAACCTTATCAAGCGCAGCGAGGATGGCAGCCTTAGCTCTACCCACCTCGCCCTGCTCGTTACCCTCATGATGCTTGTTCTCCTCGGCATGCTGTGCATAGGAGGCCTCATGTTCCTCCGCAGCGTCCGCAGAGGCAGGAAACAAGCCGCGGCCGACCCGGAACTCCCCATCTACGAAAAGCGCCAATCAAATGTCAACCGCCTGACTATCACTGCGATGCCTTACAAGGGTCGGGAATCCGTCATCACCTACTCCGAAAAGCAGAACCTCATGGACAGCCCTACCAGCCCGGTACCCGAGATCCGCATCACCTTCCCCGACGAGGTCGACGAGTCCGGCAAGCAACAATCGGGTCGCGTTGTCGTCGTTCGCGTTGGAGACCACAGTGTCGGACTGGAGCCTGTACAAGAGGACCTCCCAGCCTACCAGCGCGACGCATCAGACCGCTTCGACTCGCTCGACCTGGATCGCATGGGCGGACTGAAGGAGAAGGACGACAAATACTACTCATGAATCTCATGACACCAACCTCAACACCCGGCTAGACTGCTGCTACGGAAAGTCTAGCAGCCCGGGCCTCCCAGCCACTTGGCTACGACCGACTACCCTTGATGACGGCTATACCGCGCTGATTGTCAGCTTCTCCGTTCCTGCTGAAGCTGTGGCATAGCCGGCAGGGCACACCATTTATGTATATTCTCGGAGTTGACTGGCCATTTTGCTGTATACCCCCTGATGATTGGCCATCTCTTCAACGAGGTTTCTACACCTCTTACATAACTCTTATTCACTAATGTATGATATACAACTCACTCTCTAGCGACTGCGCAGAGCAGCATGAGAGCCAATACAATCCTTTGTCAAGACATACAAAACGCGTGCATTCGATCGTGATGTGAAGTTGACGTGAGTGAACCAGCGCATGCAGGGTCTTTGGGTATTCTGGTACGAACGGGAAGCATGCAGGCATGATGTCAAGGCTCGTATTACAAGTCCCAAGCACAGCTAGCGACGGGCGCGAGGCGCGTACCTCGATGGCGGATGCATGACATCGGAGGCTCGGCGAAATGGGTGATCCACTTGTGGATGCTTGCGACACATCCTCACTTTTGTAAACAGCGCACCAACTTTCTCCCCATGGATTCTGTCGCTCCTTGAGGCCTCTTCAGCCATTTGAATCCCATTGAATCTCCATTTGGCATTTGCTAAGCGCCAATTGGCCACCCCTCTCTATCCGCCATGGAGAAAGGCGAGGTCTTCACGCCTCTGTCCGACATCACCGCCGGCCGGAGCACCGCGCCCAAGGTTCAGAAGCCGGCGCAACAGCCACAACAGCAGCAGCCGTCGCAAGGTCAGCGGACGGCTGTACATGACCCTGATAAGGCGAAGAGGCTTGGGCAGGTGCACTTCAAGGCTGCTCATGGCATCATTGTCGCTTTCTTTACTTTCATACTGTAGGTTTCTCCATCGCAGCCCTCGCCCGGCTTTCCCCTCAAGACAGACATCGCTAACGGTTACCAGAATACTTCACATCCTCGGTATCTACCTCTTCACCAGCGGCTTCCTTCTCACGCGATTGGTGCTCGACCACAAGTCAGAATGCGCCCTCCCCCCAATCGACTCTGCGAACGCGTACACCCCGGGCGACGCGGAAAAGGGGTGCTGGCACCCGAAGACATTCAACAAAGCAGTCGTCATCATCGTCGACGCGCTGCGATATGACTTCACTGTGCCCTTCCCCGAACAATTCGAACCTGTCGACCTCGCTGTCGAAGCCGAGAACCCGTCCCAAGCCCCTCCAATCGCCCCGCGCCATTTCCACAATGCGTTCCCCGTTCTATACGAGACGGCGAGGAATCAGCCTCAGAACGCGTTCCTCCTGCCCTTCATCGCCGACCCGCCGACGGCCACGATGCAGAGGTTGAAGGGGCTCACAACGGGTACGTTGCCCACCTTCATCGATGTGGGCAGCAACTTTGCGGGCCAGGAGATTCTTGAGGATAACTTGGTTGGACAATTGAAGAATGCGGGCAAGAGGATGGTTCACCTCGGTGACGACACATGGCACGCTCTTTTCCCGGACTACTTCGAGCCGAACCTGACGCACGCGTACGATTCGTTCAACGTCTGGGACCTACACACTGTCGACTATGGCGTGAGTGAGCACATTTTCCCACTTTTGCAGGCTGAGAATGCCGACAAGTGGGATGTCATATTCGGTCACTATCTGGGCGTGGACCACGCTGGACACCGTTACGGACCCGATCACCCTGCCATGGCCGCGAAGTTGAGCGAAATGGACAAGGTCTTCCAGCGCATGATTAGAAGCATCGATGACGACACTCTGTTAGTTGTTATGGGAGATCACGGTATGGACGCAAAGGGTGACCATGGAGGAGAGTCGGATGATGAGATCCAGGCTGCGCTGTGGATGTACTCGAAGAAGGGTATATTCGGGCGCAGCAACCCTGCCTATGTCGCGCCTCCGGCCAATGCGAAGACCCGGCCAGTGGGACAGATCGATCTAGTCCCGACTCTCTCGCTTCTTCTAGGCATGCCCATACCCTTCAACAACCTCGGAAAGCCCATCGAAGAGGCTTTCATCGGCAAGGACGGCGCTGACTACAAAAACTTGGCGACCGTCAACCGCCTGACCGCTGCTCAGATCCACAACTACCAACATGAGTATGCCAAGGTTCGTGGCATTGCTGATAGCGCACGAGCTTCTTCGCTTGCCCTTTGGAAGAACGCAAATGACGCTTGGAACTCGCTCGGAAAGTCCAAGGCCAACAGTGAAGAGATGCGCCAGGCGTACGAAGCTTTCGGTGACTACCAGCGTGATACGCTCCGCATCTGCCGCGACCTTTGGGCTCGATTCGACGTCCCTAGGATGGTCAGTGGTGTCACAGTCTTGGCCGCCAGTCTGATCGTAGTCGCGCTCTACGCTAGAATCCTCCATGGAGATCGTGCCGACGTAACTCCCGTCTTCTTCACTCGAGGTGCTATTGGTCTGGTTCTCGGAGGTATCGTAGGTGTGGGCTTTACTATCTTCATGCCAGTGGACACCAAGTCGCACGTCCTTGTCCTCTCCTCTGCTCTCACTGGAATCGTCGGCTGTGCTTCTACTTTCTACTCGCTGAGTTACCGCCTCATGCCTCCGATGCCAAACAGCATTTGGGGCTGGACGAGTGTCATCTTCACTCTTGCGCTCTCTGGCGGCTTTGCAGCCAACTCATTCACCATCTGGGAGGACGAGATTCTCCTGTACTTCCTAACCACCTTTGGTGTTCTTGCGCTTATCTCGTCCTTCCGTCGAAAGAGTATTTCAGACCGGACTCTGGGCGCTTACCACTCCATCTTGTTCACCATCTTGCTCAGGGTTGCTAGCTTCTCGAGACTATGCAGAGAAGAGCAGATGCCATATTGCAAGTCCACATACTACGGATCCGCTTTGTCCACTACATCAGCACCGTGGCAACTTGCCATTCCCGTAGCCGCCGCCATCCTCATCCCCACATTCATCAAGAGCTACTACGACGGCACCAAGAGCTACCAGCACTACGCGACCCTTTGGATAGGTCTCGCACTGCGCTTCGGTCTAATGATGTCCGCCGCATACTGGGCCCTCGACGCCGCCGACGACGGCGAATGGGCCCCCGGCTGGGAAAACATCATCCGCATCACCAAGCGCTTCCTCGCCCAGATCGTGCTCGCCATCAGCATGGCTTTTGGGTACTCAATCTACAACTGGTCCAAGCCGCTCCTCAACGTCATCATCAACAAAGACGGCGGCGTCGACGAGAACGGCGCCCCAAAGGAAGAAGTCATCATCCACGGTTTCGCAAACGTCCACGGCTCGCGCTACGCCCTCCTCATCACAATCTGGTACCTCGCCGTCGCCGTCCTGCAAAAACCCATGGGCGCAGGTGCAATTGGCATCTTAGTCTGGCAACTCTTCTCCCTCTTCGAAATCATCGACACGAATAACCTGCGTCAATCCGCCATCGGCCCCGTTGTCCTCGGCCTCCTCGGCTCCTTCCACTTCTTCAAAACAGGCCACCAAGCCACCCTCTCCTCCATCCAATGGGAATCAGCATTCATCCCCTTGACCAAGATACGTTACCCATGGACCCCGATCATCGTCATCCTCAACACGTTCGGCGCACAGATTCTTTGTGCTATTGCGGTACCCGCGTGTGTGCTTTGGAAGGTTAAACCCCAGAAGAAGGGTCTGCTTAGTGTGGTTACGAAGGCGGTGGCTACTCACATTTTGTTTTATGCGACTGTTAATCTGGCGACGACGATGTGGGCGGGGCATCTGAGGAGGCATCTTATGCTTTATAGGATCTTTTGTCCTAGGTTTATGGTTGGGGCTGTGGTGTTGTTGGTTGTGGATGTGGTGTTGATTGTTATTGCGCTGTGGGGGACTAGGATGAGTATGTTGAGTACGGCGGAGGTGTTTGGGTTTGGGGGGTAGATGGGATGGTGGTGAGAGATCGATTGGGGGGAGGAGAATTGGAAGTTGCATACTGGCACCGGCTTGGTCGTTGTAATAGCATCGCGTGCAGCGTCATTTCTGTTTTTCTGGTGTTCAATGTAAGGAGCTCATGGAAGGTATCCCATGTGCAACTTCGCAATTCGCTCCTTCCTCACGCCGTCTTCTTGTTCCGTCATCTTGGTTCTTGCCGTTCGCTCCTGCTCCTTCCGGTTCCAAACGCGCCAGATTGGCCCAGATTGGCCCTGCGGCGCCCCGCGCCATACCGCTCTCTTACCTCTTACCTTTAGCCATCCTCTCGCGGTCCTCCTGCCAATACGTTGGCAACCTATTACATCACCCGGTGTCACACGGCGGCGAAGTCAGGTAAAGGTAAAGGCAAAAGCAGCCGCCCCCATCGCTCCTGCCACCGCCTGTCCATATAAAGCATCTTTCCTGGCCTATCCTCCATCTCTCCTCCACCACACTTGGTCCGCGCCCAAAAAGCATACTTATTGCCCAGTTGTTCTGGCACTCTCTTACCGAGCAACCCTCAACGAAGGATCACTATTCCACTGGACTTTGACGCGCGCTCGGTAAGAATTACCATTTGCGACGCAGCCAAGCCTATCCCTGACATAGGTGTGCGCTTGACCAAGGCGCTGAAGAAGCCGGTCAGTCTTGAGTTCTTTGTTAGTGTTGTAATGGCATGATACTGACTGTTGCTGCAGGTCGCTGCGACGACTACAACACTCCATATATTGGAACTGGACTTCGATCTCCACTTCACTTTGCTACAGCTCGGATCTGCAACCCAACAAACACATACGATTTGCTCCCCTACTCGCGCAACATGGCTATGCCGTCTCAGCAGGTCGAAACCGCAGTGACTCAGTACCAAACGGCGGACGACTTTCCTTATGGCATCCTCACTGAAGAGGACATGTTTGACGATGCGACTGGTGCGGTACCAACCAAGGGCCTGGGTACACCGCTCAGTCTCAAGGATCGCACCCTAAGACGCCTCTCGAAGATGCTGGGTGCGGAAGCCACCGTACAAAATGTACCCACTGAAAATGGCATCCACATCTTGCTCTCACGAAGCCAAGACTCGGTCCGCTCTAGCGTTCTACTGGACGAGCAGCTGCGAAAACACGTGCGCGAACTCGAAGTTTCGCTGAAGTCCATTGCGCAGGGACCTGGTATGTCTGTCATGTTTATACACACAGATTTCTCACTAATACATTTAGGTCAACTTTGCAATGACGCATGCGAAGACCTCTGGGAGATCATCCTTGTGTCCAACTACGGCAAAGCCGATCTAGTCATCCAAGCTCTCCAAAAGCTGTTCAAGCACAATCAAGGCACTTTTGACCATCTCGTGACCAGGATGTTCGGCATCGACGATATCGATAGTAAAGGCTCAAAGCTAGACCGAGAGCTCGGCGATCATATCATCATCATGGCTCAACACGTCAACGGCTTCGATGGTTCGATGAAAGAATGGAACACGCTGATCCGCTTTGCTGCCACGATGACAAAGACACTGTCCAACCTACGAGACCGAATGAAATACATTGTTGAGAAGAGCGCGTTCGCTGACAAGCTTTTCGGGCTTATCTGCCAACTTGGTTTTCCTGAGCGTGTCTATGCTACTTTGGTACGGAGTGCTAGAGCTTCACAAAAGTTCAGGAACGTCACGTTCCATTTGGGGCCCCCCTCACCGGCAAAGACTGTCTCATTTGCAAGCCCGCTAGTGACCGCGACGCCACGAAGCACCATCGTGCGCTCTTCACCATCAAAAGAGAAGTCGAAGCAGGTACTGCGATACGAAGCCACGGCGGACGCAACAGCGACGACAGCGCCTGCCTTTCTCTCTTTTCTTCCTCCTCCCCCTTCAGCTGTCCAGCGCTACCTGCCTCGAAAAGACCGGAACCTCGCCCTTAGTCGCCTCGAGCCTGCTGAAAAGCAGATGACCGCACAACTCGCCGATACCGTGCTCAAAGGAAATCTGCTATCTACGCAGACAGCCGTGTGGTACAATTTCGGCTTCGTCACCGCCAAGGATGAGGACCAAGAGCGACAACTTGCAGGCCTGTATGCCAAACTACTGAAGGAGGCCGATGATCCTGAAGCCACATTCTGCGAGCTTCAAACCGCCCTCAAGACCAACTCCATCGTCAGCGTCTTTGACAAGTACAACTACGCCCAATTTCGCGAACTGTTCCCGTGCCTGGACACCTTCTTGACCACACCACCACACAAGCGCTCCACCGTATGGCGTCTACGGCAATTCATCCTAGACCCATCCGATGACGAACCGCCCCCATGTCTACAGCGCGACTACGGCTTCAAGTACTGTCGCCAACGCGAAGAGGTCCTCCGGCTCAAGGAGATTCACACCAATGCGCTGGAGAAGATGGGGCCGAAAAGCCTCCATGAATCCTGCGTCAACGGCCGACTATACGAGAATGCGGTACGAGAGGGAGTCGTCGTTGCTGGCAAGGACAAGCGTTTCTTGGCGAATGACTATCCGTCACCGTTTGTTGGTCTGGACAGTCCACGTGGCCTTGAGCCATATCTTGGCCGTTTCTACAAGCAGAGCTTGAAGCTGTAGGTGAGGACGAGGATGAGGGCGGCGGATATGATGCGCACGGCGGCGAGCCTTGATCATCCGCTTGACAAGCTCTAGGAGAAGGGCTTGAAGCGATCACTAGGGTTCTGGCTTCCCTGCGCTTAATGCGGGATGACGTGTGCATGTCCATCGGGCGATGATTCCGGGCATGGGTTTTGCTTTCGGAATTTGCGGTTTGGTAAGTGGCCTCCACGGACCTCATGGCCACAAAAAAAGGCGTTGCAGTATACCCATGAGTTCTGGTGCCAAGGAAGGCGGCTGCGTGGACATGACTTGGACGATCGACTCTTTTGACTTGCTGCTTATCATTTTGAGTATCTCAAAAGTTGGGTTTTGCGTGCGGAAATGGGTATCTGGAACTTCTTTTAGCATCAAGTTATGCAGCGGCTGAGGCATGCAATCTATTCACTTTGAAACATACCTCCTCTTGGTCAACTCGTGATGCCTTGGATGCGCGTTGATGGACTGGTCATGCTTTTCCGCATCTTTGTTCTTTTGAATCTGGATTTACTCACTCATTCCCGCCATCGCCGTCAAGAGATTGATGCACGTGACATGGCAGCCTGTGGACGCATATATAAACCCACCCTTCGTACCATATCTTCTTCTCCATCATACACCTACTTTTCGGGTCTCTTTTCAAAAAGCTACTGTGCAGGTGCACATGGTGCTTTGTCCAAAATAGCGACTCGGTCGGCCCATGTCTGTCCCTCGGTCTTCTTCCTCTTTCCAAAATCTTACCTAGCTGGCTCGTGTGTGCAGAGCAGAGATCTTGTCCTCCTATAAACCCCAACGCCGCGAAACCAAAATGGAAAAACAACAAGTTATGTTGTCGAAAACACACCAAAAAGTCCACAAGCGCGGTTGATGTTCTCGAAAGACCGAAAAGATAGAGCGAAGCGCCGATGTGCTTGCCTAGTTCTCTCCTCTCTATATCTACGTCGGCTTTGCGACCGGTCCTGTTATCTTACATCCTTCTTCCCCTGGGTCACTTTCCAAAACTCATGGAAGCACACGACATGATCTGCTGGTCTGGTCGACCAAAAAAATGAATCCGACGAGATATGCTGCGCGCTTTCTTCTCTTGTTGAACCAAAAGCGATATGAGCCGCTCAAATGTTGGTGTTTGAAAGACATCGTTCACATCGCGATGTGCTGTGGACTTGCCCGAGCGTTGATGCAAAATTGATACCAAAACGCTTCTACAGAATGATGATGTGTGCCGCACCGTCTACGCTGGCTCCACGATCAAGGCTGGTGTCGATGGCCGGTATAGAGCTTCGATCGAGACTGTGGGAAGTTTGTTGTCGCACACTTTTTTTCCTTTCCTTTCTTAAAAAATCACGGCACAGGTTCATGTGTCGATAAAAAGAAGTGGAGCGGTAGACCGCATGGGGTGCGCTCGCTCTGCCTTCTAGGTCTTACATCAAAATCACAAGAAATGTGAGCCATGGCGTTCTAGAAAACTCTGGTCGGAGTTGACATATGTGCGTCCGTGGATCTGGGACAATCCTTCCAATATCAAAAGCACAAACGAAAAAGCGCATGTCCTGCGCGTCTCGCCTGCGCTGCATCAAACCTCGACAACGAAGAAAATCACGACAAGAGCGTCGGATGCGGTGCTAGAGTGTAAAACCTGCCATCTTTCACGCGTTCTCCCACCTTCTATATCATCTCGCAGCTGCGAGTGACCGAAACCACTGGCTCACGAAGTGATGTTTTCGTTCCAAATGTAATATAAAAACGCTTCATGTTCCTGCGCGCGCGCGCCTTCTCTTCCTCATTACCAAAAACGCGCTTCATCATCTGCATGGCGCTGTCATCGTGTCTCGAAAACGGGAGACAAACGTGTCATGTCCAAAAACCGTCAAAATCCGAATATATGGGTTAGCGCTCGGTGTGATGGTGGTGTTCGCGTTGGGTACGCGTGCCGATGATGAAGATGATTGGCATGAGGGTTATGGAATGAGGTTGCACCAAGATCAGGACCAGTCTGAGTCAAAGGCGCGCTCTGTCCTTCGTTGTGGAATGACGTTGGGGAATGAGGAACGTGGCTGTGGAATGGGGTTGTGGAATGGGGTTGTGACATCGTGGTGGCACCACCGAGGTTGATGACGTAAGCTGCTAGCGTGGTATCGACTCGTCACGCCTCTGACCTTCGAGGTGTAATCACCGTCACCATCCTTGTCACGCCTTTGACCACCACCAAGGCATCTTGCGGCATCTTCACTCATCATCGCGTGTGTTGTTCCAAGCATCGTCATGCTGGCCGGCATCTGTGTCAAAATGACATAGTGTAGCGCGTACTGCAAAGACAATCTCAATCTCTGCACACGCCATCTTTCCTCCCCTCTCCGCCCACCGGACACGTACTCCACGTCGGCAGCTCCTGATCACTCCCAGCACATGAATACTGCTGTTTCGTTTTTTTGTATTTTCATATTTTCGTCTAGCTATGTACACGTCCGCATTCTCCAATCCCATCATTAACCCTCCGATACTATAAACACACTCACTGTAGAAAGCCTCGCTCTCACAACCATCGCAAACCACCGACCCGATACCGAAACACCCGCGCTATAAACACGCACTGATAAACAAGGCCTTTCCAGAAAGCCTATCCGATACACCGACTGCAATGAGCAAAGGAAAGAGAACGGACGACCGTGTCCGTCCGTAAACCATTGTTCCGTAAACAGAGAAGCAATCGGATCTCGAAACATTATGCCAGGGACAACGCCCACGCAAAGAAAGAACAATACCGCTGGCAATCCCTTTATACCATCTTCGAATCTAGCTACTTTATATCCTGGGTCGTGCCCTTCGTTGCCTGCTTACTTCCCCCTACCGGTGGACTTCTTGGCCGGACCCTGATTGCTGGAACCATGAGGCGCGCCGCCGGTGCCCTGACCCCTTCCAGCGCCCGTGACAGGAGCTACAGTATGAGGCGCTGGATGACGATGTGGTGTAGTATCACGTGGTGCGCTGGTGGGTCCTGGTGTGGTAGACGCTCGTGCCTGTTGGACACGCGGAGTTCCCTGACGAATAGGAGACGTAGTGACTGCAGGAGTTGATGGCGCTGGAGATGCACTTTGTCGTAGGGAGAGGTTAGAAATTGTGCGAGGTGCGCTACGTAAGGGCGACGGTGATCCAAATGCCGCATTGGGCGGGGAGCCTACGAAGCCCTGACCAGGACTACCTGCAGCGTGCGTAACATTTTTGCTTTTCTTTGCTTGTGGTTTCGACATTGACCCGCTGGGCTGTCGAGTTGCGCCAGGGGCCGGGGTGTTCGTCCGTGACGCGAGCGCTCCTCCGCCGAACGATTGATTGCTCTCACTAGTAGACGGCCGCGAATGCACTTGGCCGGCTGCTAAATTTTGGGGAAACAAGGGCGCTAATTCTTCCCCAGTATGACCCTGATCTGAAGGACTACCCAATAGACGCATTTGCTCCATCCAGCTATTATGATCTTGGTATGTTTCGCCTCTCTCCGCTGCATGCCTCGCGATATCGTACTCCATGTGTTGTGCATTTGGGGTGAGAATCGGCGATGGTCCTTTATCCAATGGAGAGTTGCTTTTCTCAGAATGGATTTGACGTGCAACAGCTGGCGGTGACACTGACGGCCCATGTGTGTGCATCCTATTTCCAGAGGACCCCAGAGAGCTTGCGTTTGACGCGGCACGACTACGGGGGTCTACACCGCCGCGGAGAGGGGATTGGCCTACGACATTTGGTAAGCCTCCCCCAATTGCGAGTGATGGCTGGCGGGTTCTAGGGTGCTCAGGATCAGATTCCCCTGAAGCGTCTACACTATCCCCACTAAATGGAGTTGATCCCGTTCGACCGCTAAATGGGGGTGCCCCTGGACCCTGGGGGTCAAGGGAACCAGCCCTCAACGAATTACGAACTTGGCTCCCTGTATCAGAAGGTGTGGAGGGATTATTATACAATGGGTCACCCGAATTAGGCTGCCAACCATCTTGATCGTCTTCAATATGGGGCTGCTGCGCTTGGGCTCCATGTCTTGGGCTATGTTCAACTGCTCTTCCACCCTGGAGAGCGGAGGGTTGAGCCTGATTTTCATGCTGCTGTGAAGAAGGGTTATCTAATTCGCGACCGGCCTGAGGAGATTGAATAGGTGCCACGGATCGCCGGCTAGCTAGATAAACTTTTTCCGCCCGACTGCCCTTTCTGAATCCTTCATACCCGTCATGGGGACTGAAGTTGTCAGGCAGCCTAGCTGGTCCAAACCTTTTGAATGTCCTCTCTAGGCACTTGTCTTTCTCGTCCCGCGTTGACTGTGGCACTCTGCCGTCTCCAGCATTGACGAGCTTTTTAGCGTAATCGACTACATGCTCTTCTGCCCAGATGTGGGAAAGTTCATCCACATCCTCGTTGGACGGCCATACATGGGCCTTCTGTAGAGCGGTCAACTTGGCCCTTTTTCTGGTAAGCCGGAAAAGATGGTCGACTTGCTGCTTTTGGGATTTATTTAGGTTTCGAAAAACTGGATTCGTAGAACTTTGCGTAATGGAATGTAAAGTTGGGTTTGTAGGGGGATTTGGAGGATCATCTGTAGGAGGGTTTGCTTGAGTGGCTGGAGGAAGGAATGAAGTGCTTGTAGGAGGATTTATAGGAGGATCCGTAGGACGATTCGTAGGACGATATACTTGAGAGGCTGGAGGAAGACTTGGAGGTATGCTTTTTCCCGCGCCTGCCGAGTAGCTGCTTTGACGGAGTGGATCTTGAGCTGCGGCATGACTGTGCCTTTGGATGCTCGTCCCGTAGCCACTAGAGGATTGATCTGTAACACGTGGTGGACCTGTGCTAATTTCAGGCGCCGGAGGCTGACGTTCTCGACCACGGCTAGGCGTCACAGACGGGACGGATTCCGAATACATCTGCTGTGGTTCCGACGCTGGTTTCTTGCCTTTGCCCTTGCCCTTGCCCCTGCTCTTATCCACTCCCCGCTCTTCAAA